GCTGTGTGCCGGCATTTTTCCTCTGCTCTAACACTCATGCCTAGCGATTATTCCACCTGCCATCATACTGAAGTTTGCGCATTCATTTATCCAATATCTAGCTAATCTATTACTGCTACCCTTGGAAACACACGCATGTGTCACAAATTTAGCCAACAAATTCGTCAGGTGAAGCGAGGTTGAAAGCCGTATTCTACGATAGCAGACACACAAAAGCATCTGCCCAACGGCCAAAACTCACGTCGATTGGACTCGCCGCGTTGCCTGCAAGTAAATATCCCAGGCTCTTAACAACCTGCCGCTCCTGTTTGCCGACGTTTCCAAACTTGCCACAATAAATCTTTCTGCGAGCAGACAAAGCAAACGCGTTCGGAGGTTTTTCGTTGTGGCGAATTCCCTCAACGGCAATTCAGCGGCCGCAAGTTTGGACTTAGCTTCTGACGCGGACTCGAGAGCAAATCGCGCAGCGAGGTTAGCGACACGCACCAGCGGCGAAATAGAGCATGCGCATCGCGCCAGAGCCGACAAGCCGTACGCATTGCCACAAAATGTCCCATAGATCCACTGAGGAAGAGGAATTGATATCAATCGTGCCAAACATCATCAACGCGTTTCGTCACGTGCACGTTCGTGCAAATTTTTTTAAATTAGGCCGAGCCACATCAAAGATTGTGCGCTACATCCATGATAGCAAAACGGAGCATTTATCACTATGTTTACCCACTCGGCCTACCGATAATACATCGCTTTAACTTATAGGTGATTTATTACTACACAGCCCCTACAATTGCAAAGGACCCCAGTAATGTACGCCACGTAGTAGCATCAATTGGTCGAAACAGCCATGTTATCGGACACATCCGCGGATGCACGCAGTAATTTTGAACAGTCTTCTTACTTTAACGGCGGAACCACCAGCTTTGTGCGGCCATCGCCTCTGCTGCGCGCACCCCCCCCATGAAGCGCAATACCGCGCTTTGCCAGCATTTTACTCGAAGCCCACCTTCCTTCCCAACACCCGCTGAAGCCCTACCACAGACACATCACGTCAAAATCAGGGGAAGGGGGGGTAATCACCAAGAGGTAAGCAACAAACTCACCACCGGCAGGTTTCTGCACGAACGTCGGCGGGCTGCACACGGTATCCTTGACCTTGAGTTGACTGATGCCGCTGCCACGGCTGAAGACTAAATGTGGTTTCAGATACGCTGCGCCTTCATCTACAGGACGATCATCACACGCGCCTCTCAATCCCTAGCCCAGCGGCCGGCTGGAAAACTAGTCTGACGAGGACGGCGGGGTCCCATTCGCAGTGTCGAAACGATTGGCGCTTTCCCGTCGTACGCGAAGTTGCCAGCTCAGTACGCCCCGCATATTTGAGATGTAAAAATTGTCATTATCCATTTCTCCATTCTCATTATGGATTCATACTAGGACATTTAAAAATCTAGCAGGACTGAAAACAGATTTTCGTATGTATAATATTCGATGTAACTTTACTTGATTATTGCATAAGCATATCAGTTACTCGCTGCGGGCGCGTGAGTAAAATAATCAAAAACATGGCATGCCAGAGACTGCATGCCGCAGACCACTGCTGAGCAGCGGATGAATACGTGTCGCAATAAATGGTTGCTAGTGGGAACAAAGGACAGCATACGCCCCCCTCCCAGTTACCAGTGGGATAAGCTTTCATTGTTTTTTTGTTTCTTTTTTTGTTCTTGGAGCTTCAAATTTTTTTAAGATGGCGTGCACGATGCGCCGTGCATCAATAGCGTCATCAGCGGCAAAATATAACCGAATTTGGTTGACGAATGGCGCAGGGTTAGCCGCACACTGGAGCAGTAATAGAGTAACTGGCATACCTTGTTAGCTTAATACAGTACATACACCTTACATCAAAACGCGTATTAGTTTGTCCAATGATCACTAGCTGTTACTGAAGAAATGTCTAGCTTGAAAGTCCGCCAGTCCAAGAAATCAGTTGTTTACCAGTTTCAAACCGCCTGCCGGCACGAAGCCGGGCATTGATACAATTTATAGTGCACCGGACATTTCGCCACGCATGCTCCGTCGTCATGAAATGCATATCATCAGTGATTTCGCTAAACACGGACGCCTCGTTGATAAGGAACTTGTTGCCAGACTGTCCCATGTGCCGTCCGTGCAATTAGTATCGTGCTGCTTTTACTCCATTCCATGTTTTAGTCGCGTGGCCGTGGCTTACACCGCTGACACTCCATTTTCATGTATGTGCTTCGAAAACATACGCGGCGCCCGCACAAATGTTATGTTCATGCCCGCTTGACTCCTGAATGACCATTTACGGCACGGTAACATGAATATCAACAACCGATTTGCAAGTCTTGCTTGCTTAATGTAACCCGCAGTGCATATTGGGCGTGCAGCAAACTAATACGCGTTTGGCCTATAAGTTATGTATTTAGTTAACTACACAACGGCTGCCAGGTTACCTCTAGCCATTCCATCAGACATTGCGATAAATCAATGGGCCTAGTATTGGCCTTTATCTCCTGCGATTACAATAGATCACTTAGTAAAAATAAAAAAAAAAAAATTTAAAAAAAAAAAAAAAAATAAAAAAAAAAACTGATAAAAACATATAATGATTCCATTGAGTGCGTCCTCCTCTCCTCCTTACCTCCATGAAGCCAGACAGAATTGCGGTAAGCAGACCTGCCAAACCTTGATTCATGGCGCAAGCCATTCTTCTTACTTTAGCTCAGAATTGAATGAATTTATTAATGACGGAATAAAATTCTGCAGCAGCGTGGGCGCCATTTGCAGGGTCGCGGACTCCAACGCCTTTGAACTCCAAATGCGGACATGTTCCCGCAGTGAATCATGTACACCTATAGTGGCGAAAATTCAGAAATGAATGGTGCGCCGGGGTGGCGAAATGTACCCTTGCGCTCTGCCGCAGCAGGGCCCGCGTGCGTAAGGCATGCCCAGTGCTAGCCGGGGCTCTGGGTGCCATGCTCCCCAAAAAAATTTTTGCGAAATATATTTATATTCAGCCATTTTCCTGCGCAATCTGAGGCATACTGTGGCGCCATCCATTCTCAATGTCTGATAACACTATCTCAACCCTAAGACTCAACCCTCTAACAACCACTGCTCTGATTAGCCATACAAGCTACGGCCGACACCTGCAGACAGCGCTTGCTGACTAGGCCTTTCAGTTTTACTGCGTAGACATGCCAGGATGATACAACAATGCCAAAAAAAAAACAATGCTGCCAAGCAAAACAATTGCGAACAATCAGTGCAAATTTTGTTACAGTGCAACGCTGAACATTGCAGAAATATAAAACCTGCCGCTGCAGAATGCGGAAATTAGGCTAGAAATCGTAAAAAATGGGGGGATTTTCCGCAGAATGAGGAATGGTTTGCGAACCCTGCATCTTGGTTTGTATGTTATCACGCAGATGGAATGATGGGACTAACTCTACGATCAAGCTATGAGAACAACTGAACGTCTGATTCCAATATGGCTGCCCACCCACAACGCCAGATACTTCTCGGCCTCACAATGCTTAAAGACTATTAAGTTTCACAAGTCGTAAAAAATTCAGTTTGATCGCCTGATCGTACATTCGTAAAGACATCTTGGAATTAGTAAGGAATACGAAAAAATCGTAAGGGTTGGCAGGTCTGCGTAAAGGCTTCTTACCTTCCTCCATCGGTTCGTCGCAATTCTTACTGACAGCATTCATCTCTCTACCATTGACGACGGCATTCACCTGATTCTCATACGCCACTTCATCGCTTTCAATCATCTTGACATCCTTTGCTTTGATAGTCGCATCATCGGCTGTAACAACACGTGTCATCGTCAATTCAAGTCAAGCAGCATCACAAATAACTCATGCATAATAAATGAGATCACTACACTTCGCCGTTCGAGCAGAATGTCAACTAACGTGCATACATGTATGATTATTCATTGAACAAGAGCTGCAGAGCATCTGGGCTCATCTGAGGTCTGTTGCTACGGTTATAAACGTAACATTTAAGTCGTGCGTAGTGACATCTTTGTTAGGCGCAGATATGCAGATACGCAGTTGCGTACACATCATTTCAGCAACCTTCTGCATTCTGCATACCTCCCAAATCCCATTGGTTGATGCAAATCGAGTGCCTGATATATATGAAACTCCTGCCGAAACTCCTGTTTTATGGTGCATTGTGACACAAATCAATGTTTAACCC